AGCTAACCGGCCATCCCTATATAGAGATCCGAACCCGTGGCCTTGGTGTTATCAGCACCACACTCTCCTGAGTGAGCCATGGGCCGGCCCGGTATTCAATAATTTTTAAAAACAAGAACCACTGACTTGTATACTATCATAGCTGGAAACTATGTAAAGAAGAGGCCTGGATGGCTAAAGCATTTATCTATATCCTTTTTGGATGTAGATGCCCAAACTTTCAGAGAATTTTGGCCATTTTACATGGCAACATACTTTAATTTTATAAATATGCCAGGCAGATTAAATATTATTGTAGTCTGAATTACCAGATGTCAGGTAGAGTGTGTTCACTTTTTGATGTATTAAATTACATGGTTATAGCCTTTGACTTGCTGATCATTGACTAAATACAGAAAGACAAATGGCATGAGCAGATAGTTTATAACTATCAGAAATTCTTAACATGTAGTTGAGAAAGACGAGGTTAGAATGTTTCAACCAGTCTTGTCATACAGCCTCAAGATTCATTTTTTAAAGTTGCCCTAACTCTACAATCCACACCAGCCAGGATGGTGGCATTTAGTTACGATAAACACAAGGCCTTTGGTTGTTTTAGAAACAACAGTTAATCAGATCAGATTAAGTCTCTTAAAGCACTTTTGTTTTAGAAAGTTTTGCAAAGAACTTCAGAAATTTCATTCCTCACCATCAGTGAATACATTTCCCCCCCAAGAGAATATGAGTATATAAATAACCCACCCATGATTGTAAAATGGCTGAAAGATAGCAAGAGTTTTCTTCATAACATGTGCCTTACGAGGTTTTTCCCATCCATATTGGTTTCACTCTTTTATAAATCTGTTATCTTTAGAGTTAGAGCCATTTACTTTTATTCTTTATTTTTCTCTGATTGATTTTATTTGTGAGAGTCTTATCCCTGTAACTACATTTAATTTTTGAGGGTAAGGACTGTACTTATTTTACATCATCACAATGTCCTTTTGAGAGGTAGACTCTTGATACTTGCTGTTCAGTTTAAAAGCTGAGATGCAGGAAATTCATTTTCTAGCTCCATGTGCTTGTTGAGAATTCGCTATGTATAAGGTACTGTGTTAGGCATCAGTAGATATGCATTGGTGCATTTTGCATTTACACCGAGGTAACAAAGGACAAGAAATTACGGTGTGGAGGATACTGAGTCATGCTTTGAAAGAATTTTTTCCCTTAGCAGGAGAACCGTTATGAAAGAAACCACTTTTGTTGAAAATCTTATTCTTTTTGCACACAGATTAGGGAATTGAAGAATTTCAGTAAAGTGATGGCAGAATTGTCCTTCTCGCTGCACAGTACTGTCAGTTAGAACTGAAATAGTCCTGAAAATTAGTCCTGAAAGCAGAACTGATTTTGATTTCACATTTGAACTGATGTTTGCACTGGCAGCCAATGGGTCTGGTAGGTGCTGGTTTTCACATTGAGAAGCCTAAAACTTTTCTCTTCTTGTTGCTGGCAGGTTCCTAACCTGGCTTGTACTAGTCCTAGGCTGTTATACTAGGGAGCTCAGTGAGGGATTTGGCTTTGAACTCTTAAATAGGTACATTAGAAAGCCAGTCTTTCCACCAACTGTACTGAGTTTAAAAATACTACTACTTTGGCTATAAAATGTTTGGGAAGTACATGCAATGCTGCCTAACCATAGTAATGTTTCTTGGCCTTGAGTTTGTACATATAATCTAATCAAGTTAATAAAATATGTAATGAAAATGCTTATTTAAGAGAAGGTCATAATGTGACATTGTGAGCTAAGAGCAGGGCCTCTAGACAGACTACCTGGCTCTGCCATTTCTAGCTGTGGGATCTTGAAAGAGGTTGTTGTCTGTGTTTAGAACTCATGGCCTATAAAATGGGAATTAATACAGCTCTTGGAAGAATTAGCTGAGTTAATGTATATAAAATGCTGGGCACGTTAAATGTTGGCTATTATTGCTTTTATATCTGTTAATTAATGAGATTGTATTCTAAGATTTTAATAATTATTCATAGGAGAACTACCTTCTTAATCATCTCCCTGCTTTAGTTCTCAGTTTTCAGGCTATGTTCTGTGTTGCTGGAGTCTTAAGATTTTTGTAGTTATATCCTTTGTGAAGGTGATAACTACAGTGGTGAGAGATGCATTTCAAATATGTTTCAGTTTTTGAATATCAATACTTGCTCAATTATCTCCCTGTATATGCTGCCATTGGCAAAAGCCAAGGCATGCCTGTTGTTAATTAATCACTTCCACTGGGAACTTAATTAGTGGCTTAATTAGAATCATCCTTGAGTAGCAGGCAGTCACCCTGAGCCAGCTCCAAGTTATTGGCTAGCTCTAGCAAGCCCTTCTGGTCATACGAAGACTTAGACTGAGGAGGAAACCTGCTGTGCTTCCATTTCATTTTTTTCCACCTTAAAGAAGCCTGTGTAAGATCATCAGTTGTCTGTGATGCATCCATGTACTATAATACATGCGAAAACAAGGGAACATATCCCTTATTTACTTATAATGGGTAGATCAGAAAACCAAAATTGGTTATTAAATTCTTGTGGTTGTGCTAAACAAGCAGAAAACATGTTGTTGTTTGCAAATGTTGAAAATTAGAGCATGCATTCTGAATTTGACAGAGTATTTCATTTTCTGCTGAAAGTTACTTTCCTTCTGGCATCATTGTTTTTTAATATGTTTTTTTGAAATATTGCCATATTGTTACAGGACAAAATCATCACTCCATTTTCTTCCTCTTTACCCTCTCAGGAAAATATGGGAAAGTAAAGCAAAAGTAGCATCTTCTTGCCTTACTTTTGTATAGAAGTAGAAACGCTGGGGGTGAGAGGCCCAATCAAGTTACTGCAAAAACAGTATTCCCCCCAGACTTTTTGGATGGACTGTAATTTTGCAACAATAAGATAAGTCAATGCACCAATAGTTTCTGTTTTATAGAAAGGGGAATCCGTTGAGTCAAATCCCCGAATGAGGACAGACATCTTGAAATGGACCTACTTTACCTGAGCATATTTGCTTCATTCTTTTGATTATATAGGCTTTTAGAGGATTTAGGTTAATTGTGAACTTGGGGAAAGGGTCAATTAAAATATTTTGTCTGCAACAGATTTGCTGCTGCTTCCAGGAGAAGTGGAACAGGACGTAAGCACCAGTGTTCCTTCTTATTTTCCTTCCGTGGGCCAGCCTCTCGCCCCTGAAATGAAGCCAAAGCCTGCTGTAAAAGGAATGAACAAACCAATGGAAGAGGTCCTGCACCGGGAATTCAATCAGTCTCGACACTGCCTGGATTTGGTAATTTGTTCATTCAGAGAAATGCTACTATACCCGTGTGCTTTTGTATTTTTCTCAGATTTGGGAAAATTTAGAATTCAGGTTGATTAACTGGTCCCACTCACTGCCATCTATCTCTAATGTGTCTATTTCTTTTTAAACACATAGAGCAATTACGTTTTTATGGGGAAATTTTTTTGTTCTATAATGTATGCAGTGCTATAGGACAGTGCTACCTAGGGACTGTGGACAGTTTTCTTATCTCTTTTAATCTGGCCATTCTTCTTTTTATTATTGTTTCTAAGGTCCTATAAACCTTTTGTATTAGTTCAGGTAAAGCCACACTACTAAAACAGAGAATCCCCATAATAGTTCAATGACGGAAAGGACATAGAAGTTTCTCTTTTTTAACAGTCTGTAGAAAGCCCTTAAAGTGAGCAGGAGGATGTTCCCTGGGGTCATCAGGGATCCAGGTTCCTCCTCTCTGGATGTCCATTATCCTTAAGGGCATTGTCCTCATTTGCATGTTCCAAGTGAGATCACCATCATACCTGGAGGGGGAGGGGAGAGAGCTTAGGGGAAGCATGTTTCTCCAAGGCTTAGGACTCAGGGCCCTTCATTTCTGATCACATTCTATTGACAATCACTTAGTCACATGTTCATATCTAGCCATAAGGGAGGCTGGAAAATGTCACCTAGTCATGTTCTTCAAAAGCAGGGCAAAGTGAAATCTCTGCCACACCTTTACTCTCCCAGACATATAACTTGAATGTCAGCTTTTGCTATCACTTTGCAACTCTTCTACATATACTTAACAAATGTTTACAATAGAGGCTGTTGGTAGTGTTGGTTAGTGACCTTTCTCATCCTCTTTAACATGAAGGCGGATCAGGCACAAGAAATTGTTAAGGGCTCTTTATTATTGCTTCCTAATAAAATCCCCAGGGTCCTTCCTGATTAATTGTTCAGGTCTTGTCATTTAATTGTTCAAGTCTTGTCACTGGAAAAAAATTCTGTTATGGAATCAGTCTTTCAATCACAAATAATCCACACATTTTAATTCTAAATTGCCCTTTTCTCATAGTACTTTTATTTACTGACATGACAAAAGTATATCCAGGATGCTTGCAGGCTTATATTAAACTCCTAAATTGGTTATCAAATGAACTAGAAGAAATGGCTACTTTTCAATATGATTTTTGAGTTATAGATTGCTTTCTCTGAGTTGTAAGAAGCTAAAATTGCAAGGTTATTTCTAGCAGAAATCTGTTCCTTTTTAAGATTTGTTGATGTTCTGGACTTCAGTTGTGATCATACAAATTATTGAACCAGTCAGTGGGCACGGTGCCTAGTACCTTTATAGAAATAAAATTATGTTTCAATACAATTATAGAATATATATATTCTAGTACAATTATAGGAATTGTTATGAAGTGGTTTTAGTTAATGCGTTTTAAAAAAGCTGGTATCTATCAAACAGCCAGTAAAATGCAAGTTAAAACCTCATATATGATTATACCTTTAAAAAGAATATAAATTTCATACCAGAAAATATGAACATCTTTTAATGTAGCAATCAAAATGATATAAACAATTTTTGTGTTGGCAAATGCATGAGCCACGGATGAATAACTTTTGCTGTTTTTTGAATATCCAGAGTAATATCTTGGTTGGGATTTTTATTTCTAACCACTCTTTGTTAGAGAAGCTTTTCAGGATTGTCTAGAATCACAGTATTGCACCAACTCTGCCTCAGTTTCATAGTGTTAATCTTATTTTAAAGCATCCAATGCCAGTAAAAGAAAATAATCATCAATTTCCAGCAAATATGTCCTGTAAACACATACCAAGAGGCAATTTTGGGGCTAGAGATGGTGGTTGCTTTCTGTGACTTAAATCTGAAAAGATGAAAATATATTCTGTATGTCCTGACTTCCACTTAATTGCCTATTAAGAATCCTCCAACTTTCTGAATATGGAATGGACCAATTTAATTATTTTCGCTAATTTTATCACTGATTTTATACATGTGCATTTTTCCCTTAGAATCAAACGGTTTCCAAGAACCTTCCATTCAGTTTGTGAATAACTTCTTGCCTGGGTTATTCTATTTTTATGAATTTTGGAAGTTTTGAACAACTTTGTAGAGCAAAAAGCGTTCACATTAGGAAGATGAAAAATTGTGGTTCCTCTGCCTCCTCCCTTCCCCCGACCCTAGAAGAAGTCATAAAAGAAACTTGTGTGGTATTTTAATAGGAGATACCCTGTTTTTCCTATTCATAATAAGACTCTAAAAATTTTCACCTATAAAGACAGTTTATTTACTGAATTACTTTGTATGATAGCCTATAGCTAAATGCTGCCATTATGGATTTGAGCAATAGTTTTGTCTTCCTAGGGCCGGCCTGTGACTCACTTGGGAGAGCGTGGTGCTGATAACACCAAGGCCACGGGTTTGGATCCCTATATAGGGATGGCCAGTTAGCTCACTGTGTGAGCGTGGTGCTGACAACACGTCAAGGGTTAAGATCCCCTTACCAGTCATCTTTTAAAAAAATAACAAAAAACGAAAAAAATGACTGAGCTACTGCTGGAAGCCCCCTTGTCTCCCCTGCAGGAATGAGGAGGGTGCCATGGGTCTAACCCTGCCCTCCCTCCCTCGTTCCCCCACCATATTTCCCCCCCCCTTTTCTTTCCTCCTCCCCACCAACTGCTCTGTAACATCTTAGAATGTAAAAAAAATATTATTATTAATAAATAAATAAAAATTTTAAAAAAAAGGTTAACCTATGAGCTAAGTTTTGAATCATGATGGGAAGGAGTCTTCTATGTATGAATGAGAGAATATTCCATGCAGTAAAAACCAACAGCTTATATATAAGGACAGAGACTAATGAAAAAACATGACATAGCTTTATTTGGCTGGAACAGGGGTCCACAAATTATAGTTTGCCAAATTTGGCCTAGCGTATTTTTGTATGGCCCACAGCAAAGAGTGTTCTTTTCATTTTTAAAGGGTTGTTTAAAAAAAAAAAAATGCAAGGGCTGGCCTGTGGCTCACTTGGGAGAGTGTGGTGCTGATAACACCAAGGCCACGGGTTCGGATCCCTGTATAGGGATGGCCGGTTAGCTCACTTAGGAGAGCATGGTGCTGACAACACTGAGTCAAGGGTTAAGATCCCCTTATTTAAAAAAAAAAAAAAAATTGTTTTCTTTATTTTTCCTATATGGTACTGTGAATGAAAATGATTCCTCCTTTAACAGTGTCTCTGTTAGAATAAGTCACATGAGCAATTTAAAGGAAACTAGAAGTTTTCTAATAGTGTACAAATTTTATTCCCTGAGAGGCTACAAAAAGATTTCAATTAGATTTGAAATTAGACACCTGAAATCCACATATTTCTCTCAGCTCCTTTGGCAAAAATAACAAGTTAATAACTTAATTCACAGTTGTTTTTTGTTTAACAGCAGGGGATTTGAAGTTCCCTTGCACAGATTCTTTTCTGGAATAAATCAGAATTTCAGTTTGCATTCTTAAAACCTTGGAGTCTTATAGCTGAGAACCCTAAAATGAACCTAACTTGAAAGAAGAAAATTCCCAAAGTGTGCCACAATAGCCAACAGCTTAAATACATACATAGAAATGCAGCCTTACTATATATATATATATTTTTTCCTTTTTGTCTTTTTTCGTGACCGGCAACGGATCGCAACCCTCAGTGTTGCGCCCGTACTGGACTGGGACCGGCAACGGGATCGCAACCCTCGGTGTTGCTCCCGCACCTCGCTCAGCCAGTGAGTGGCCAGTCTGTATGTGGGATCCAAACCCTCGGCGGGAGCTTTGCTGCGCTTCCCAAGCGGTGCACTGTAGCAGTGCGCCACCGGGCCGGCCCCTTACTATATTTTAAAAGCTGTCATTTGGAAGATCACAGTGATGTCTTCTGAATTGCAGTGTACACCTAGTTTCACTTTGAATTTCATATGTGTGCCTTGTCTTAGAAGACTCTAAATTCCCTCATGCATATCTTCATAAGCTTACTTAATTAAAATGCAGAAAGTCAGAACTAGTGCCAAGCTCAGTGCCATGCATCTAGTAGATATACAATAAATACTATTGAATGAACAAATAAAGACTTTACCACTTATTGGGAGTGATTTTTCTGATACAGTAACATGGTTGGGATTCTCTTCTTCTCTCTCTCTTTTTTTAAAAATGTTTTGTTTTTATTGGTTATGAATATTCATGGGTACAAAGCAAATTGTCACTACTCATGCCTAAGATGTGATTGCCAGATCCATACTGGCAGCATGTCCATTACCACAAATTGTGATTGTACCCTGTGTCCCCCACCCAATTATCCCCTCAGTTATCCCTGACCTCCCTCCCTATCCCGCTTTCCCCTCTCCACTTTGTATCCCTAGGTATGTTCTCCCTCTGCAAGTCCAATGCACTACTGTGGTCTTTCTTTCCTTCCTTCTTTCTCTCTTAGCTCCCACATATGAGTGAGCACATACGGTATTTATCCCTCTGTGCTTTGCTTATTTCACTCAACGTTAAGTTTCTATAAGTTCATCCATGTTGTTGCAAGTGGGAGAATTTCATTCTTTTTTATGGCAGAGTAGTATTCCATGGTGTTTGTATACCACAGTTTCCCTATTCAGCCATCCATCGATGGACATTTAGGTTAGTTCCATATCTTGGCTACTGTAAACAGAGCTGTGATGAACATCGGAGTGCAGGTATCCCTTCGACATGATGTTTTCCATTCCTTTGGGTATATACCCAGAAGTGGGACTGCTGGATCATGTGGAGGATCTATCCGTAGTTGTTTGAGAAACCTCCATACTGTTTTCCATAGTGGTTGTACTAATTTACAGTCCCACCAACAGTGCAGGAGCATTCCCTTCTCTCCACATCCTCACCAGCATTTGTTATTCTTTTTGATTATAGCCAGTCTAACTGGGGTGAGATGATA